AGCAGCAGCAGTAGTAGTAGTAGTAGTAGTACTAGCACTTGTAGTAGTAGTAGTAGTAGTAGTAGTAGTAGTAGTAGTAGTGGTACTTAGTAGTAGTAGTAGTAGTAGTAGTAGTAGTCGTCGTAGCAGTAGCAGTAGTAGCAGTAGTAGTAGTAGTAGTAGTAGTAGTAGTAGTAGTAGTAGTCGGAGAAATAGCAGTAGCAGTAGCAGTAGTAGCAGCAGCATCAGCAGCAGTAGTAGCAGCAGCACTAGCAGCAGGAGGAGGAAGAGGAGGACGAGGAGGAGGAGGAGCAGAAGGAAGTAGAAGTAGAAGTAGTCGCAACAGCAGTAGTAGTAGTAGTAGTAGTAGTAGTAGTAGCAGTAGTAGTGGTGGTAGTAGTAGTGGTGGTGGTAGTCGTAGCAGCAGCAGCAGCAGCAGCAGCAGCAGCAGCAGCAGCAGCAGCAGCTGGTGTTGTTGTTGTTGTTGTTGTTGTTGCCTCTTTGTTTGCAAAACTAGAGCAGGGCCACTGCAAAGCCCTAAAAAACCTTTTAACGAACTGTTTCCGGTAGTAGTAGTAGTGGTAGTAGTAGTAGTAGTAGTAGTAGTAGTAGCAGTAGCAGTAGTAGTAGTAGTAGTAGTAGTAGTAGTAGTAGTAGTAACTGCGAACGCATACTTTTTCCTTTCTGCGCGGACCAAATACCTTTTCGTAAACTCATCTACATTTGAAATGGTATACTTTTTCGGACAGCCTTGCAAGCGTTTTTGGCCACACCAGTCCCATGTACGGACCGTCACAAAACGGATACTTTTAATTTGGTGTCATTTTTCCGGACTGGGGCCGGATAACGAAACACGTGTTGAAAAAGGGGCTCAGTAAGACCGGGACCATTTTGTAATATGACGTTTGCCCGTAATTACTCGAATACTTTGTTGGCGGAAGCGATACTTTCAGAGCGCAGTCGACACCATGGAAGACTCGATAAGCCTCTCGCCTCGAACTGGTAATCCTCTGTGCTCGAGTCCGTCCTCGCATGCTTTCTTTTTCACGTACTCCAGAAGATGTACCCTTTCCCCATCAGAAAGTACAAAATATGCGGATGCACTTCCTGGTAGTGGTAGTTGCAGTGGTAGTAGTAGTAGTAGTAGTAGTAGTAGTAGTAGTAGAAGTAGGAGTAGTAGCAGTAGTAGTAGTAGTAGTAGTAGTAGTAGTAGGAGTAGTAGTAGGAGCAGCAGCAGCAGGAGGAGGAGGAGGAGGAGTAGTAGTAGTAGTAGTAGTAGCTGTTGTTGTTATTGTCGTCGTCGTCGCAGCAGCAGCAGCATTAGGTGGCTGCAGTAGTATGAGTGGTTTGGTCAGTTCCTGGTGCGATTCCTTCCAAATTCACGAATAACTAGCTGTAACAACTAATCGTATTGCAGCCGCTGCAACCCTGCTCCCCCACCCCGGGCCTGCTTTACAAGTTCGTTGTTGGCTTGATTTGCAACGAAGTACTCTGCATTTACCTGTTCAGTTTCAAACTGAATTCGACGGGTTACAGACTAGCGCGGCTAACTCGCAAGGGTCTGGGGCTGTTGGGAGTTAGGTGGGAGTTTCCGAAAATAAGGAGTACCTTATTTTGGGGGTCCTGATAATAAGGATCCTATTATTTAGGGTACTATATTAGGGTCCCCTATTTTCGGAACCCCCCAGGTGGCAATGGCTGCCACATTCACTGCTCACTCTGGGCCGGCGAGAAGAATGTCTTCGAGGTTCGCTCTACAGAAGGGTTTCCTTTTGAGATAGCACCTAAACCCTAAATCCTAAACCCTTAAACCCTAAATCCTAAACCCTAAACCCTGATACGGACTCTCAGAAGTTGATGGAAGCTTCCGGGTCTGGAGTGCAAGGATGCAAGGTAGCTCGGTTTATATCCCAATGTCTACGACGATCATCTATAAGCAAGGGTTGGGATACTAATTATGAAGGCCCCTATTATGCTATTTTGGGCGGAGCTCCTTGTTATTATTCTAGTATGATTATAAATAATGCCCCAAAACCCTATTCTACAGTATAATATACCCCAAAACGTTATTCTACTTATTCAGGCCCCAATAAAAGCTAAACCCTAAACCCCTAAACCCTAAACTCTAAACCCTAAACCCTAAACCCGTGGACGAGCACCGGGACGCCATGGACCAGCACAACTTGGACATTGAGCACCTCGCCCTGGACAACCTCTTCGTCGAGTACCACACCCTGTACAGCATGGATGATCAGCTCGTCCGACACCCCTGTGGCCGGGCCATTATTTGATATGGAAGCCACGGAACAGCTGACGACCACGTCTACCACTGTCATGGAAAATGAGGAGTTCAGGTGGAACGGAGCTGGCTGGGGTGACTTTGCTTGGGTCTGCCTCACATCGTCGTCAACAACTACAACGTCCTCGTCGGTGGTAACGGGGGAACATGTTGTTAGGGATGCCATTAACCTGGAACTTCAACACGCAGGGTCGGCGGATGTGGCAGATGTCATGCGAAGGTTGATGGACAGACAGAGAAGGCTCCAACATTGTCTTCGGCTCGTTGGTGTCGCGCTGGAGGAGTGCTTGTGTTGGGTCTCGCGGGGAAGATATGCTCGCCCCTTCAACGCTGCTACGATGGACGCTCGTCTTTGGGATGTCATTGGTCGGGAAGCAGGACAGGGCTCGGCGACCGCGTCATCTGGAAGCACGGGCCTTGCATCGCCTCAAGCTGTCCTACTGCAACCTGACCTTCCGACAACGATGGCTTCTCTCCTTGGAGCCTTCCCTGGGGTAGACGAGCATGTGGTGGTGGGATATCGAAGGCGAGGATGGCGAGCACATGCGGAGCGGCTATATCTTGAGGCAGGGAGGAGATGTCCCAGAGGAATGTGGCCTGCTGAAGACGACAGGGTTCTCTACTACATCCAGGCTGATGAGGAAACCTGTGTTGGTAATCTGCCCCCACATGTTCCTCTCCCTGAAGACCCTCTGCTTCATCGACAAGTTCGTGGTGCGGCGGCGAGGCGTCGACTACATCGTGCACGACCGGTCCCCTCCTACCACTCCGTTCCTGCAAGGCATGTTCGGGTTGGGGAATATGGAACTGGTGACGACTTGGAAGATGACGATGGAAGTGGTGTCGGCCCCGTGACCTCTTTGCTGGAAAGTACCTCGTCTCGGCCCTCTTCGTCTACCGAGATGACGGCGACACATGAGACAGCGGCAGATGGGCTTCCTGTTCTTCCTCCACTTCGGGAAAGAAGTCGTAGTCGCAGTCGAGATGCAAGTGATGCACAGGGGGCTGATGACGAATGTGAACGAGATGAACCTGGTGCTGATGGCGAAGATGAACGAGAGGAGGATGTCGACTCTTCAAGCACTTAGTGATGCCTTGGTAGATGCGATAGGTCAGATTTGCCTGGTCCTTGTGCCTGTCAGTGCTGAAGGCCTGATGCTGTGCATTATGGGACGTACGATGTCGCCTCTTGTACATTGTAGGCTTTTGACTTGAGTCTGCCTCTGCATCTGCTCGTCTCTTGCTGTCCTAGTTGTAAGCTGGGACCAGTCAATGTCAGCGCCACTTGTCTGGCTGCTTTTCGGGCGTCAATGGTGTCATGTTTTCAGTGTATGCTCCAATAGGGGCGAGCCTTGCTGGGAGAAAGATGGGCTACTACACTTTAAAAAAAAAAAACCTAAACCCTAAACCCTAAACCCTAAACCCTAAACCCTAAACCCTAAACCCCAGCCCCATGTCTGCAACACTGACGAAGATGAATGCCAGACACGGAGACGTCGACTACAAAGTCGGAAGCTTCAGAGACAAGAGGGGTCGGAAGAAGTACCCGACAGGGTTGTTTACTATACTGTTTATAGAACCATTTTTTAGTAAACTTATAGTAAGTTTATAGTAAGTGTGTAGTAAGTTTATAGTAAATTATAAGTATTTATGTAGTAAGTTACTAGTACACTGTACCCCAAAAGCCTTGTTTTCATGGTGAAGTCCCCGATAGTAGAGGTTTCAAGGGGACCAGGGTTGGCTAAATTGCATTGTACTTGCACCGGCCAAAGATGCGTTCCCCTAAACCAAAGCCCTAAGCCCTAAAACCCTAAACCCATTGCACTTAAAAAAAAAAAAAGAAACCCTAAACCGTAAGTCCCAACCCCCTTCTGTGCAGAGGGCGCGAACGGGGAGCTCTCGGAGCTCGCACGCCACTTTCTTGGAGGAGTTCTCGCGAAGGCGTGGTCAGTGGTACGGTTTGGGGTTTAGGGACCTCGGGGCCGAACGTTGGGGTTTTGGAGCCCTGGGTTAGCTCTGAAACTCTTAGATCTCTGCCTCTCTCTCTCGCTCTTCGTCTAGGACATTTGCAGGTGGGTAGTTACCATTATCGGAGCTATTATAGGACGTCTATATACTTTGTAGAAGCCTTCCAGAAGCCCTATATACCCTGAACTCCCCACCTGTAGTTTCCTTTAACTTCGTCTCTGTGGATGAGAAAACAAGCACTGGTGGCCTGGTAAGAGCCGCGATGGGAGGCGCCTGCTTACTGTGTCATCACAAACCCCGTCGTGAACTCCTACAAGAGGCAGGGCTGGATGCTGCAAGCGAAACCGAAGCGAACGGTCTCACATGAGACCGGATCACTGGTGTGCATGAGAGAGTTCTGACTTCTGTTCTGTTGCGCCGGTTGTACGCATGTTGCATGATGATTCTGAGCTTGATTAGATTTTGCTATTCCCTAAAAAGTGTTCCTGCTTGCACTTGGGCGAAGCCTTAAAGCAACTCTGAGCTAGGCTGAACTCATCACCAACTGGTTCTGGCTGCGCTTGGTCCCCAAACCGCTGCCTGGCCCATCCCGTATCAAAGTCAGGTATAGGACTCACGGGTTGTCTTGGACTTTTGGACTCGCGGGCCCTTTTCTTGCTAATTTGGTCTACGGTCCGTGCAGGCGTTGTGTTTGTTTTCGGCAGCATATCATATTCGATGTTCGGTGCAGTGTGAGAGGGTAGGGGAGCAGATCGGAATATCAAACGCAGATCATTGCAAATCCTGCACATGAAGGAAGCGGTCTGAACTAGTATAGGGGCCTTAATAACTAGAATAGGGTTTTTGCATTTGGGGCCCTTTTTTACTATATTTATCACAAGGAGCCTCCAAAAGCCTATTCTAAGTATCAAGCCCTTTGTCAATTTGGCAGAATGACCGAACCCACTGGCCCACATGAGCCAACGCGTCAACAGGCCGTGAACTCGGCTTGTGGCTTGTGGAAGATGACAACACAGTTTCGGCACATTGAGCTCAAAAGCGTGAAGAGGAGAACAGGCATTTTCCGGCGGCGTCCTTCACTTTGTGCTGGAGTGCCGGAAGTACTCCTTGGATCATGCTGCCACGTCTTGGTCATCTCAGGCGTGTCCTGGAGCGGCAACAATCGCAGTCACATGGAGCCTCGAATGCACTATCGGGAATCTGGGTCTCGCTTTCGAATTCGCTATTTTTTAGTTATGGCCAGGGAGGTAAAGGACTTGATGATACAGCCATTGACTCTAAGCATTGCATGTGTGCGAGTGTGTTTGGGCCTTCTATCTTGATGCAAAGATCATGTCCAAGACCACGGCAAGCCCCTGTGGTTGACGAAACGAAGTCCCACACAAGATCTCTCAACCCTAAACCCTAAACCCTAAATCGTTTTCATGCAAAGCCCCCGCAACCAAGAATCCTCGGCTCCTCCGTGCCAACTCCATGCCAATTCAGGCTTTAGGGATTTGAGGTAAGGAGCTTCGCCCGCCCTGACCTGAGAAAGGTTCGCATTCCAGAGGGCGACCGATTCGAGCTGCGGCTCGCGGATGGAGCCGTCCTTCGGCCGAAGACTAGTCGGGACTTTCAGGAAATAGGGGGCCCCTGAAGATGTGGAACCGAAGCACCCCATTCCTGATGGTCATTCTCTTCCCATGCTGATGAGTCCAGTCGTCAATATCATGGGCATTTCTCATCACCTTCATCCTCGTCATACACAGCATCGTCGTCAGGGTCAGGGTTTAAACCCATAGTCACGTCGTTGTCGCTCTGTCATCATTGTTATTGTCGTCTTTTGCACGGTGCTGGCCCTCGTCACCACCATCACAGTGCCATCATCAAGAGCGGTATCAAGATACTTTCCGAGATCGTCGCCCTGCGACATGGTCTAACACGCTCCTTGCTGCCGTCTTCGTGGCCGTCGTTCTCGTCGCCGCTGTCGCCGTCGTTCTCATGATTGTCCTTGTATTCTGCTGCTGCTGCTGCTGCTGCTGCTACCACTCCTCCTCTTACTCTTCCTCCGCCTCATACTACTGACTACTGCTACTATTTACTGCTGCTACGACTACGACGACGACCACCGCCACCACCACCACATCTACCAGCACCACCCGCAGCAGCAGCAGCAGCAGCA